AAAAAAAAAAAAAAAAATCCTGAGGGCTTGAGTTCTGGGTATTTGCGGCTTGAGGCTCTCTTTGGTCTCTGAAGGGTAGAGGCTATAACCATTGGGTCCAGGGTTTGGGGTGATAGTAATGGGATCTCTTGATTCCCCAAGAGTCCGAGGATCGAGGGTTGCCCATTCTTCAGTGTTGCCTCTTAATCCTTACACCACTTGAGGGTAATCACCAGCCCTTCTAATTCCATGAGGGTGTACCTGGGCAAGCACAGTCTGAGCAGGAGTGATGTCCGAGTCCTTGGGTGTCATCCACTCATCATCCAGATCCACACGGTGAGGGCGTGGCCAGCGCTGTGATGTCATATTGCTGCGACAATCTCTGCAGTGCGCCTCTCTAGCTATGTGCCAGCCTTGGAACTGCCAACATCAGTTCTCTGATGGGAGTGGCCTGCATGGTGCCAGGCTGGGGCCTGGTGTCAGACAGGGATCCTGGAAATCTCAAGGGCTTCTGGTTGGAGGGCACAGGGACCTGAACTAATGGGTTTGCCCCAAGTCCATTGCTCTCCCAAGTGAGTCTCTTAGATATGAGGCACTGTGCCAGCATCAGCCTTATCTCCACCACATCTTATAAAAGGGTCTATCCAGGGCCTTGATGAACACCATGGTGTGTGCAGGAGTAGAGGATGGAGGCACGGACTCCTGTGAGGTCAGAGCCAGAGAGGGCCATCACGGATGGGGAGGAGGCTGTGGACTGGCTTGAGAAGTGGGATGTAGTTGTGTTTGATTTCCTTGACCAGATAAAGTGCTGGGTATAGGATTGAAAATGGAGAATGAAGACCAGTCAGAATGGAGGGTCAGGTTGGAGTTGAGTTACAGATGGGGTAAAATTGTGCTTCGGATGAGCTTGGGATTGACAATTTAAAGGTGATTTGGGATGGCATGGCTTTGGGATGGAAATAGGTTTGTTTTTAATGTTGGCTGGGAAGTGTGTGGGGATTGAACTGGGGATGAGGTAAGTTTGGTTTTGGAGATAGAATATATGGAGGTGGCAATTGCATGTGAGGATGTGTGTTCATTTGGTTTGATATTTAAATGAAAGAAGATGTTAGGGTTGTCTTGAATTAGATTAAGTTGTGTTGGGTTGATGGGTTGGGCTTGTGTGTCATGTGGTTGCACTGGGTTGTGTTAAATTAGTTTGGATCACGTTTTGGTTGAGGTTATGATGGAAATGAGGATACATTTGAGACACTGGATTCAGGTGGTTCTCATTCAAGCTGAGGGAGATTTTCTTTCAGATGGTCATTCCAGGGAACCGGTGGTTGTGTGAAGAAGTCAGCCCATTGGCTATGTATGTCCCTCTACCATAGTACCCTGGTCTTGAATTGTGATTATCTATGTCCACTTCTGTCTCCTTCACTGTACTTGGAATTTATCTTGTCATTCAGCTGGAAATGAGGGACGATTTTGTCAAATTCTTGAGACACAGCTGGGTCTGGATCAGTGTAAGCTGCTCTGGTTTTACAGAACAGATGAAATAACCATTTTCTCCCCCCAAAATCTAAAAAATCTTATAAAGTTAATATTAACAGTGAACTCTTATAATGAGTTAACACCAGGACTCTTGTTCTTGATTCTTTTCTGAGACACCAAAATGAGATATTTTTCAATGCCACCTTAATTTTTTTTTTTTTTTTTTTTCTTTTGAGACACATCTGGGTCTTTTGCTCTGTCACTCAGGCTGGAGCGCAATGGTGTGATCGTAGCTCACCAAACGCTTGACCTCCTGGTCTTAAGGGATCCTTTTGCTTCAGCCTCCTGAGTAGATGGGGCTACAAGTGCTTACCACCACACCTGGCTAATTTAATTTAATTTTTTTTTTTTTTTTTTTGTAGAGATAGGGTTTCATTTATTGCTCTGGCTAATCTTGAACTTCTGACTTCAAGTGATTCTTCAGCCTTGGACTCCCAAAGCACTGGGATTGCTGGCATGAGCCACTCACTGTGCCTGGCTTGCAATTTAATCCTGGAGTGTATAAACCTGGCTCCTGATAGCTATGCATTTCATTGAGAAAGGGGCATTGGATTTTGTATGAGGACAATTCTAACCGAGGAGGGCAGGTCAACAGGAATTCCTGTTGTATGAATAGAGTGCACAGGCGTGGACAATGAGGAGTGAGGAGCCATCAGAACCCCGCATTGTTTAGTGGACATCAGGTTTTGAATAATAGGGAACTTGGTCTGGGAGACTCAAATTTCTGGATTGGAGAATATGTGCTATCACAAGGTTTTTGTTTTTGTTTTTTGTGATGGAGTTTCACTCTATCGCCCAGCTTGGAGTACAGTTGCATGATCTCGGCTCACTGAAACCTCCGCCTCCCAGGTTCAAGTGATTCTCCTGCCTCAACCTCCCGAGTAGCTGGGATTACAGGTGCCCACCACCATGCCCAGCTAATTTTTTTTTTGTATTTTTAGTAGAAATGGGATTTAACCATGTTGGCCAGGCTGATCTTGAATTCCTGACCTTAGGTGATCCAGCCACCTTGGTCTCCCAAAGTGCTGGGATTATAGGCGTGAGCCACCATGCCCAGCCTGTATCACAAAGTTTTATGATGAAAGGAGAAATATATGTGTGGAACTATTTTCTGATGTGAAAGTGCAAGAAACAGAGTGTACTGAATGCCAAGGCTCCTATTTCAGAAACATGGTAAGTTTGAGGTCTAGTTTCTGGGCTCAGACTGGTATAGGGACCAGGAAGTCTCACAAACCCACAATTCTGGTATTTCAGCGCATATTACGTCTTGGGGTGCAAAGGAAGTACTTGGGACTTAGGCACAGGAGACTTTGTATTGAGAATCAGTGATCGGGGCTGGCCATGGTAGCTCACGCCTGTGGTCCCATTGCTTTGGAAGGCCAAAGTGGGAGGATCGCTTGAACCCAGGAGTTGGAGACCAGCCTAGGCAACATAACCAGACCCTCTTTCTACAAGGAAATAAAAATTAGCTGGATGTGGTGGTACATGCCTGTGGTCTCAGCTATTCTGGAGGCTGAGACAGAAGAATTGCTTGAGTCTGGGAGTTCAAGGCTACACTGAGCTGTGATCACGCCACTGCATTCCAGCCTGGGCAACAGAGTGAGACTCTGTCTCAGAATTTTTTATTTTTTAATCAAGAATCAGTGATCATCCCAACCCCTGCTGCTGTTCATCCTGGGCCTGCCTGCTCTGGCTTTGTACCCTGGATCATGTCTCCATGACCTACAGGCCCTGCCCAATCTGGCCTCACACCTTGAGAATGCATCCAGACTGATCTAGTATGTGCAGAACAACAAGTGCTGTCTCTCGCTCCCCTTCCACAGCTCTGGGTGTGGGTGTGGGTTGTCCAGCCTCCAGCAGCATAGGAAGGGCCTTGGTCAGCCTCTGGGTGCCAGCAGGGCAGGGGTGGAGTCCTGGGGAATGAAGGCTTTATAGGGCTCCTCAGGGAGGCTCCCTAGCCCCAAGCTCACCACCTGCCCATGGACACCTGTGTCAGCATGTCACCTCTCCATCACCCTGTCTGTGGGGTCCACTGGTGAGATGGAGGGACAAAGAAAGGGGAGTGGGTTCTGACTCTTATGCTAAAGCCCTTTCCCTCCCACCCAGTGCTCCAGCCTTGTCCCTTCAGCCCGCAGTTCACCCCAGACAATGTGCCCCGGCTCCTCTACATTGCAGTGGTCCTCATGCCTACACTAGGTCCCCACTCCCTCCCACTTACCCCAGAACTTTCTCCCCATTGCCCAGCCAAATCCCTACTCCCAGCTGCTTTACTAGGGCAGAAATTCCTGGGCACCTCTGTGTTTCTCTTTATGGGGCTCAAAATCTTTTAAGGACCTCTCTCAATGCCAGTGGTTCCTGGGACCCTATCATTGGGCTGCCTCCAGAGCCCCTCAGTCATGCCAGTCTACTGACTTTTCCCATTCAGCTGTGAGCATTCAACCCTGTCCCCTGGACCTTGACACCCGGCCTCCCAATCCTGTCCCAGGAAACCCAGATTCCACCAAACACTTCCTTCTTCCCCCCAAGGCTATCTGGACTGAGACAACAAATGCTGCCCCCAACCCCTAGTCTGGCACTGGGACTCAGAACTGCTCCTTCCCTGACTCTTTGCCCTGGACACTTCGTTCAATGGACAGCCTTTTCCCTAGGAAAAAACACGAGCACCCCCAACCACAACTGCCAGTTCTCAGATTCCCTAAATCTGCACCCTTTTCAAAACCTCAAAAACCAAATAAAAAACAACTCAGGCAGAACTGTTTGCTTAACCTTGGACATGGTAAACTGCAAAACCTTCCTCTCCCAGCAACTAAACCTCTCCATAGGACACTTATCCTTGGTTTCTGAAACCCCTTATTCTCTCATAACCCACATCTTCCACCACAGTTTCCCTTCTCCCAGTGCAAAACCCCAAATCACTGCAAATGACCCAGCCCCCAACCTGATGCTTGCTCCAGATGCTGCCCCAGGTCCCTGACTCTGATCTCTGGGGTCAGATCAGCTCTTGGAGCATGAAGTCTCCCCGCCTGGCCCAGCCACCAACCCTCCAATGCAGGGAATAGCTACAGAATTCCCAGCCCTCCCAGCACCCCTTATTCATGTGACTCCCAGTCCTGGTCCTCCGCCCCTATGTCTCTTCAAACCCACAGCTCAGCTCCCTCCCCCATCCAACTCTTCTGGCCCCTCCTGTCAATCTGACCCCCCTGACCCAGCACCCTTCTGCAGGTGCCACACCCCTCATCCAGTCTCGGATTGTAGGAGGCTGGGAGTGTGAGAAGCATTCCCAACCCTGGCAGGTGGCTGTGTACAGTCATGGATGGGCACACTGTGGGGGTGTGCTGGTGCACCCCCAGTGGGTGCTCACAGGTGCCCATTGCAGAAATGAGTAAGTAGCAGCTTGGGATGTGGGAAGAGAATGTCTGTGTCCCACAGGAATCACAGCTGGGTGCTTCCCCTGAGATCACTTCTCCAGTGAGGCTTCAGATTAAAGGGGGAGGGGAGGTCCTGGTCCAGGTCACACTGGGAGGGAGAGCTGGGACTGGACCACTCTCCCCATGGCTGCTTGGGTCTCTCTCTGTGTCTGGTCTCACTGTGTCTCTTGGTATCTGGCTCTGGTTGTGTCTGTATGACTGTGTTTTGATCTCTATCTCCCTCTCTTTTCTGCCTCCCTGTCTCTGTGTCTCCCCCGTCTCTGTGTATCTCTGGGTCTTTCTACCACCATCTCTGTCACCATGTGCCTCACCCTCCTTCTCTCTGCCTGTCTTTCTCTCTGGGTCTCTGCCTTAGCCCTTCCACATCACTATTGAGCACACCCAGATGGGCCTGCGAGTGTGGGTGAGGAGCATCCCATTGAGGAGGGAGGAAGGAGAAAGGGAAGCAAGAAAGGAGGGGAAGGTGGCCGGGTGCAGTGGCTCACGCCTGTAATCCCAGCACTTTGGGAGGCTGAGGCGGGTGGATCACCTGAGGTCGGGAGTTCGAGACCAGCCTGGCCAACATGGCGAAACCCCATCTCTACTAAAAATACAAAAATTAGCCAGGTGCAGTGGTGCATGCCTGTACTCCCAGTTACTAGGGAGGCTGAGGCAAGAGAATTGCTTGAACTTGGGAGATGGAGGTTGCAGTGTAGTCAAGGTCATGTCACTGCACTCTAGCCTGGGTGACAGAACAAGACCTCATTTCACAAAAAATAAAAAACAAAAAACAAAAGGAGAGGAAGGGAGCTGGAGAGAGAAAAGGGGACATGGCCCTGGGCTGTGGGCCAGGCCACCCGCCCCTACAGAGCCCTCACTCCATCTGCAGCAGCAGGTGAACCACCCCCATGCCTCTGCTCCTCCCCCTGCCATTCCACACTCCTCAGATGCCTCTGTGGCCTCCCTCCTTTTTCTCTCCCACTGTGTATCACCCCTGGCTTCCTCTCTGCTGTTTCTCCTTCTCTCTCTGACTTCCTGCATCCTTTTCTCACTTGTCTGCTTCTCATTCCCTTCCTGGATCTGTTCTCTCTCCCTTCCTCTTTTCCGCATCTGTTTCTTGCTGTCCAGGTCTCTTCTTTGCTCGTCCTAACTCTCACTGTTCTCCCCTCCATTTATGTCATTCCTCCGCCTTTTTATGCTCTTTCTTTACCACTTTGTTTCTCTCAGGTTCTGTTTCTTCGTCTCACACGATCACACTCCTGTTTTCTAACTCACTGTATTCACCATGACTATACCTTCCCCACCCCTGTGTTTTTCTCACTGTTTCTTTTTCTCTCCTTTGGAGACGACCTTATCCTCCCCTGCCCCATCTACCTTTCCCCATTTTCTCTCTCCTCATCCATCCATCCCCTTTCTTCCCAGGAATAGCCAGGTCTGGCTGGGTTGGCACAACCTGTTTGAGCCTGAAGACACAGGCCAGAGCATCCCTGTCAGCCGCAGCTTCCCACATCCGCTCTACAACACGAGCCTTCTGAAACATCAAAGCCTTGGTCCAGATGAAAACTACAGCGACCACCTCATGCTGCTCCGCCTGCTGGAGCCTGCCAAGATCACAGACACTGTGAAGGTCCTGGGCCTGCCCACCCGGGAGCCAGCATTGGGGACCACCTGCTATGCTGCAGGCTGGGGCAGCATCCAACCAAAGGAGTGTACGTCTGGGCCAGATGGTGCAGTCGGGAGCCCAGGTGCCTGGGTCTGAGGGAGGAGAGGCCAAAGAACCAGGTGGGGCCTGGCCACAGCCCAGTTTTTCTCTGACCCGTAGTCTTCCACCCAAAGAGTCTTCAGTGTGTGAGCCTCCATCTCTTTTCCAATGACATGTGTGCCAGAGCTTACTCTGAGACGGCGACAGAGTTCATGTTGTGTGCTGGGCACTGGACAGGCGGAAAAGACACTTGCAAGGTGAGTTATCCCTACTCCCAAGATCTTGAGGGGAAAGGTGAGTGAAGACCCTAATTCTGGGCTGGGACCTGAAAGCTAACCAGACATGTGCCTCCCCTGCTCCCCGGCTATAGCCATGCCCTCTCCCCGGGGCTCATCTGCCGCCCTCCTTCCCCCTTCCCTGACTCCCTCAACATAACAGGTGATTCTCACAGCATAGTTCACCCATTCCTGCATTCAGCACACGCTTACTGGGCACCTGCTATGTGACCAGCACTGCCCTAGACCCTGGGAAGCAGCAGTGAACAGACAAGAGCAGCCCCTTTCTCCCACAGCCTCCTGTGGCCCAGGTGAGGCCCTGCAGGAGGGTGTTCGCGGGAGTGAGCAAAAACCCTCCTGCAGGGCCTTACCTGGGCCACAGGAGGACACTCCTTTTCCTCTGAGGAGTCAGGAGCTGTGGATGGTACTAGAAAGAAGCAGGGCAGGGCCTGGCTCAGGTGTTCAGAGGCTGCCACTGGCCTCCCTGTGGGATCAGACTGCAGGGAGGGAAGGCAGCAGGGGTGTTGGGGGAGCGATGATGAGGCTGACCTGGGGGTGGCTCCAAGCCTGTCCCCGCCGGGGCCCTCACCCAGCCTCTCTCACAGGCTCCTGGCCCTCAGTTTCCTCCCTCCACTCCATTCTCCACCTGGCCTCAGTGGGTCATTCTGATCACTGAACTGACCATGCCCAGCGCTGCCCACGGCCCTCCATGGCTCCCCAGTGCCCTGGGAAGAGGGTGTCTAGTCAGAAACTAGTCCTGGAGAAGTGGCCTCTGATGAGCTGTGGGGGCAGCATCCTGCAGATGGCCCTGCCTCTCCTCCTGCTGACCTGTCTGCAGGGGCTGTCCTGGATCCTGCCCCCTGTGCAGGAGCTGGGCCCCAAAATCCCTTCCCCATTGGCCAGGATTGGAACCCTGTCCCCTCTGTTGGAATCCCTGCCCATATTCCTGTGGGAGTGGGTTCTGGAGACATTTCTCTCTGTTCCTAAGAGCTGAGAATTGCTGTCAGTCATCTGCCTGTCCAGTTCTGAGAGATGGAGTTGCCTAGGCAGACACTGGGGCCAATCTTTCACTGTGTCTCTCCCCCTGTACCCTTAGGGTGATTCTGGGGGTCCACTTGTCTGTAATGGTGTGCTTCAAGGTATCACGTCATGGGGCCCTGATCCATGTGCCCTGCCTGAAAAGCCTGGTGTGTACACCAAGGTGGTGCATTACCGGAAGTGGATCAAGGACACCATCATGGCCAACCTCTGAGTGCACCTGTCCCACCCCTACCTCCAGTAAGTTTAAGTTCACCTCACGTTCTGGCATCGCTTGGCCTTTCTGGGTGCTAGACACCAGAAGCTTGGAACTCACCTGACTAAAGCCCAAGCCTCTTGAGTCCTGCTAACCTGTGCACCTCGGGTGTGGACTCCAGGGCCGCCAGGAAAAGGAATGGGCGGACACAGGTGTAGACCAGTGTTTCTGAAATGGGTATAATTTCACTCTCTCCTTGGGAACACTGGCTGTTTCTGGAGACTTCTCAGTTTCACTGAGGACACGCACAAGGATGTGGGTGACCATGTTGTTTGTGGGGTGCAGAGATGGGAGGGGTGGGGCCCACCCTGGAAGAGTGGACAGTGACTCAAGGTGGTGATCTGCTCTCTGCGTAAGCTGGAGGCACAATGCACGAGGCACTCACACAGCTAGGAAGAAGCTGAAAACACAGCCCACTCTGTCCTGGGGGCACTGGGAAGCCTAGATAAGGCCATGAACAGAAAGGAGGGGAGTATCCTCCTATGTTGTTGAAGGAAGGACTAAGGGGAGAAACTGAAAACTGATCCATTACAGAAGATGTGTTCAGGTCCCCCAAACCAGATTTGATGATTTCCTAGTAGGACTTACAGAAATAAAGAGGCGTCATGCTGTGTTTTATTATGGTTTGTTACATTCATAGGATACACATTCAAATCACCAAACAAAGCAGACGTACAGATTGGAGTGTGGAGAAAACAGGAAAACTTGCAGTTACTAGTCTTGCTTTACGAAGTTTTCATACTGGCAGGAAGTGAAACCTATTAGGCTGAGGACCATGTGGCGTTTAGCTGACCAAGCTGATAGAGGAACTAGCCAGGTGGGGGCCTTTGCCTTAGGATGGGGGCACATCTGACAGTTATTCTCTCCCAGTAGAGTCTTATGGTCAGCACATAATTCTCCCTGCCAGGATATATGATAATATGTATGAAGTAATTCCAGCTAAGGAAGCTCACCTGATGTTTAGTGTCCAGTGTTTTTATTTGGGGTCTGTAGGATAAGTATAGAGTACTTACTAATTGACCTTAAGTGCCCAAACCTGAAGTTTCCCAGAGGTCAAACAGATATAGCATGGTCCGGGTCCCAGATGTACAAAAACAGGCATTCATCACAAATCACATTTTTAGCATGAATCATATGGCATGGCCTAAGGTCCCACATATACCAAGGCACTTGGGCAGAACATTCCAAGGGATCAAATGTTGACTCCCAGGAGCTATTCAAGAATGAGCACTTTGCTTGGAATGTGAAGACAGTGACTTTCTTCTCTACTGGTTCCATGTCTCTGCCATTAGCTCAGATTTTATCTTCTTGTCCTTGTCTTTCTGTCTCCATCTCTGTCTGTCTGTCTCTTTGCATGTGTATATTTGTGTGTGTGCATCTTATTTTTTCTGTTTCTCTAAAAATTCTGTCTGAGACAAACTTTACTAGTGCTTCTAGAGAAAGGAAGTCTTAAGGATGAGCTTTCTGAATTCTGGCATTTCTCATTCTTGGAATTAGTTCTGTAATGAGAATAAATCTAAAGGCACCAATAGACTTATTTTCAGTAATACAAACAGAAATAGAAGTCCATGCTGTGATGTGGCAATAGAGATATGCAAAATATCACCACTGGATAGTCCTAATAAAATAAAGGGGCAGTGTCTGGGGTAATCATGTATATGATACTTTGGAATATTTTTTTTAAGTAACAAGCATAATGAAATTGGATGATTGCTCCTAGTTGTGTTGGCAAAAGTTGAAAAGAAAAGAATGAGCACAGGACTTTAAATTCCCAGGTCACAGACTGAAGAAGTAATCTAAAGTTGCTATGTCTATGTTGAAAGAAACATTTATTTCCTGTAGCCACAGGGCTGAGATTTCTGAAAATCAAACCTAGAATCTTATTGCATGAGTGGCTGAATTACAATGCTAATTAAATCCTCAGCATACAGGCTGTCTGGCATTAAAGCGAAGGCATAATTGGAAAGGGTAGGGATCCCCAACATTGGATATGAAGACATATGGGAAGACTCTGATTATGGTGAGGAGGCTGGGGGAAGGTTCTAATTAGAGGATTCAGCCTGAGGCTTTAAAAATGAAGATCCAGGGGGCAGATGGGATGTGGCCAGTGTCTGGCAGGATGTGGGGCACTTGGCATCTATCCTGGTGCCTGAGGAAGCAGTGACCTCTCCCAAGAGGGAGAACCCAAGAGGAAGAGGATGTTGGGGAGGAGGAGAGACAAATGGCAAAAGGAAATTTATTTTGCCGAAGGTGGGATGAATTTGTGTCTGGAAGGATCCAAGTAGGGCCAGGAAGGTTTGGCTTCAGCTTGGCTTACACTGTCCCCAGAAAAGTTCAACTCAGCTTTGATCCCTCTCCTATCATGTGGCTGTGCCCAGCTGGGGCCCCTCCTACCTCCCACCCTTCCATCTCCAGCTGGACAGGTGCAGCCTTAGTGCCCAACTCTTTGTCAAAAACTCTGAAGGGGCTGATATTTTGCCAACTCGCAAACAAGTGGCCTGCCACAGCTTTATGGATACTGGCAGAACACACCAGATTCTGTGTGCCTTAGTGCCCAACTGTTTGTCAAAAACTCTGAAGGGGCTGATATTTTACCAACTCGCAAACAAACTAGCCTGCCACAGTTTTATGGATCCTGGCAGAACACACCAGATTCTGGATCAAAGACAAAGGACTTTATTACTCACAGCACAGCAGGCAGCATGAGCTTTGTATTCACATTAGTTCACCTTGACCCCAAGTCCCACAGGAATGACCAGAGAAGTCCAGGGGGATCCTGTGCACACAGTGCTTTCTCCACCGCTGGGAAACCTGACCTTAGGAATGCTGAATCTTATAAGGGGACTGTTCATATTTGTCCAAGAGGAAGTTCTTCGTTAACGTTATCCCAGCCACAAACAGACCTGCTCTCTACATTTATTTTACTGAACACTAAACAAATCTGTTTTAAGGGACATATTATCTTTATTACCCTGGCCGGTAAGCAAAGCTGTTCTGTTGAAAATACCATTTGCAAGATTGCTTGCTAGCCAAACATCCTTGATAGTCCAAAGGAACTTTTTTTTTTTTTCTTAGAAGACATGTAGAAACATGAGAGGCCCATGGAGAACTTTTTCTTAGAATCATAATTTAAATGCTCTCAACTTCCCTGTAGAACAACCTTATACTTCTTTCTTATACTCCTTGTCTGCCACATCTGTGTTACCCTAGCCTCACCATTGTTCCAGGTGCAGTTCCCAGTGACGGCAGGAAAAATATGGGGATCTCATCTGGATGTGCCCTATTGTTGCTGTCTGTTTACCTGTGGATTTGCCTTTGAGAGGACATATCCACATTTCCCAGTGTAGAGGCTCATGGTCTTCTGACTGTGAAAAGTCCCTCTTGGTAACTGCATAGTGCAGTTTTGTGTGTTTGTGTGTGTGTGTGTGTGTGTGTACATGTGTATGTGGTGGATGTTAAAGACCCTACTGTCCACTACCTGCCCACACATGTAACTATGTCCCTATATGGGAAAACTAATGAGCAGCCGTCAACACCAAGTGTCTGACTTGGGAGATGATCTAGAAATGGATAAATCTTTCTTGTCCCAGCTGCCTGTGTCTCCAGAATATGTCTTTCCCATAAATTCCCAGTTCTGTGCCTGGGAATTACCTGGAATCGAATCTATGAGCCTGTATTTGAATGTCTGGTCCCTGGGGTTGGTGTCTGCAACTTTGAATCACCACTAAGTGGCTTTAGGGATGAATCATAGTATTAGCCTTGACTCTGTATATCTGGGGCTGCACATCTGTCTGACTTTGGCTGTATTTGTTTCCACAATCTGAATATCCACATATATGTGTCATACTAAGTGATGTGTCCTTGACTAAAATAACTGATACTTATTACTGTGTATTTCAGTTACTGTGTGCCAGGCATTATCATGCACACCCAGACACATGTATATACACAAAGACACATTTTCCTATTTAAGTCTTAAGAAAACCCCCAGGGCCAGGCGCTGTGGCTCACATCTGTAATCCCACCACTTTAGGAGGCTGAGGTGGGTGGATCACCTGAGGTCGGGAGTTCGAGACCAATCTGACCAACATCGAGAAACCCTGTCTCAGTATACTAAAAATACACAATTAGCCAGGCTTAGTGATGCATGTCTGTAATCTCAGCTAACTCACGAGGCTGAGGCAGGAGAATCACTTGAACCTGGGAGGTGGAGGTTGCGGTGAGTCGAGATCATGCTATTGCACTCCACCCTGGGCAACATGAGTAAAATTCCGTCTCAAAAAAAAGAAAAAGAAAAAGAAAATCCCCATTAACAAGTTAGGAAATGGAAAGACACTGAGGTCAAATAATTTTCTCAAAGATTAAGAACTAATATGTTTGATCCCAGGTGGTCATACACTTGGATGCAACCACCATACCATAGACCCATGTCTGTGAATTGGTTTTCAGGGGGTTACTGAGAATATGGCCCCTCCAAGTCAAACCTGACACTGCATATCAGTGTCTCTCTCCTGTGTACCTTTACTAAGGCCACACCTTCTATGTTCAGAGCTTGTGTGCAAGTGTGTGCATCTGTAACACTGAGTATCCAGACCTACAGTGAAGTGTAGATTTGGGTCTGAGCTTCTATGTCCAAAGCCGTGTGTGTGTGTGTCTGTGTATGCGCATACACACCCATGTCGTAACTGTCCACACTTACATACAAATATCAATGTTCATGTAGCGATTCTTGAAGCTGTATGTTAAGTGAAGTTAAGCTATAAGTGCTGTCCATAGCAGTACCTATGTTTGAAAGTCAGGTTGTGCATGTATGTAGGTCCACAATCTAGTATGGCCACATCTGTGCCCTTGTATAACTCTGAGTTTGGCCGAGATGCACAAACTCTGGGACCAAATTTGTGTGTCGTACATACTGAGTGTCACATCCATTTACTATCTGTGACAGCTGAATGACCCTGAATGACTGGCTCCAAGTGACCACCTGCCCAAACACTGCATCCAGTGTCCTTATCTTCATCCCCAACCACAGAGAACTTCTTGTTCTCTGGTCTTTTCCCCTTTCTCTCTCTTTGGGGAACCTGTAACACATGTGATGGGTGGTGGGAACAAAAAAGGATACAGTTCCAGGGAAAAGAGGCAAAAGTTTTTTTAAAGCTAGAGAGCAAACAGTATTGTAGAAACACATCAGGGACTCCTGGAGAAATTGAGGGGAAGGCATAAGTGAAGAAATGTAGGTAGATAAGGGCACAGCCAGGGAATAGGAGGTGAGAAGGACCCTGTCCTCATGGATCCTCTACCGCCATCCCAGAGGCCCAGGACGGTGACTAGGTCCTGGGAACTGAGGAGTGTGTGCTCTGCTCCCAACCTTGGCAAGCTACTCTCTTTAAACGTGGACACTTTGTAGTTCTTCATGCACTGTCCCCCACTGTGAGCTGTCTGAGGCCCACTACCAAATTTGGTAAGAAGGCAAGGGCTGGGGTCCTGAAAAAGGTGGCTGGAGTAGGACCCATGGGTTCTGTACCTGGGGTTGGAGAAGTCTGAGAACTGGGAGTCCTGGGTCTTGGAGAAGGAAAATGTTGGGACTCTGGACTCTTGTATTTTAATGGGTGTGGGGAGAGAGTCTTTGACCCCTCTATTCTGAGTACTGGAGCTTGGGAACTACAGCCCAGTGGGCGTGTGCCCACACATTGGAACTTGGCTGAAAGGCAGGAGTAGGGGCCATTGGTACCAGGGTCTCAGGAAGTGGTAAGTGAAATTTCAGATTATCATAGGGCTTGGGGATCCATGATTGCTAACATTTGGGTCTTTCTGTCTTCTCCACACTCAGCTTGTGGGTAACCACCCTCCTGCTCAGCTTCCTATAATTGCTGGGCCAGCAGGAGCCGGGAAGGCTCTGAACAGCTGAAGGGCCTTTGGCGCACGTTCTGACATTACTGCACTAGGAGGATCCCGGTGCACTGCTATGACGTCACGTCGGCGCGACTATCCAGCATAACCGGAGGGCCTCTCTAGTCACAGGTATCACATGGCACTGCCCACGTCTGCCCCCTTGTGTCCACCATGGTGTCTGACTTAGGCTTTGTGTCCATAGGGAGGAGCCTAGGACCGCAGGGAGGCTTGGGTCACAAGATGCTAGAGAAAAGTCAGATGTGTCCAGCCTATGAAACCTGAACTACGTGGCTTTTGGGAAGAGGGTAGGGTCCTGAATTTATGGGTCCTCCTCAAGTTCAGGGTCTTCCCTGGTGGGTCGCCTTGATAGGTTGTATCGTGCCAACATCAGCACTATTTCAGACACATCTTGTAACATGGACTACTCAGGGCACCTGATGGACACCGTGGTGTGTGCATGTTTGGAGGGTCCTAAGATCAGAGCTGGGAGTGAGAAGAGGTATGGGAACAGGTTTAAGAGTAGGAATAGGGTTGGGTTTGGTTTCTTTTAGCCGAGGGAAAATAACGAGGGATAGGAATTAGGGGGTGGAACAGAAAGAGCAGTTAGAATGTGCAGTGGAGTAGTGGTTGTGGTTAGAATTGGGGATAGAGTTAAGTAGAATTGGATTGGTATTGGACTGAATGACATGAGAGTTGGTTTGGGTTGGTATGGTTAAGTGGTTGGAATGGTTTGGGTTGATTTTCAGAGGGAAAAATCTGAAGGATAGTAGTCTGTGTACTTTGGGATGCATAAGGCATTCCCCTTAGATGAGGCTGGCAACTGAGGGAGGGAGGGAACATTCTGGTCCAGCCATTGGGGGTGTACCACCCTCCCGGGGGCTGCCTAGGTCTCTCTCCTTGTCTCTGTATGTCTGGTCTCGCTGTGTCTCTCAGGATCTGGCTCTGCTTGTGTGTCTGTGTGACTGTGTTTTGGTCTCTGTCTCCCTCTCGCTTCTCTGTCTCTTTGTTTCTGCATCTCCACCATCTCTGTCTGTCTCTGGGTTTCTCTGGCATCGCTGTCACTGATCCTCACCCTCCAGCTCGCTGCCCATCTCTCTCTCTATCAGGGTCTCTACCTCACCGCTCCCCCATCCCTACAAACACACACCCAGATGGGCCTAAGGGAGGCCCAAGAGCAAAGGAAGGGCTTTATCCCCAACGTGTGTGTCTGAGGGGCACCTCTCTCTCTGCCCAGCCCCCTACAGGACATCCCTCCATTCTGGGGAGACACAGGGAAGGCTGGTTTCAGTGGGAGCTGAGTGGGGAACTGAGGGAGCAGGAAGGAGAAGCGGGGGTAAGAAAGGCGGGGAGGGTGCTGGGGAGGGAAGGGGGCCTCAACCTGGGACTTTAGCCCAGGCCACCCCCCGCCCCGGGGAGCCTGCACCACAGCCCCAGCTGCAGCTGAGCTGCTCTCAGGCCTCCCCTCCTCCCTACCTGCTCCCACCCTCCCCCAGGGCCTCCCTCCCTTTTCTCTCCCACACTCGGTCACCCCTCCTTCCTCTCTGCCTCTGTTTCTAGTTCTCGCTCTGACTTCCCGAGCCCTTTTTCATTTGTCTGCTTCTCGCTCCCTTCCGGGTCTGTTCCCTCTTCCTCCCTCTCCCCTGGGCCTGTTTCTCGATGTCCCTGTCTTTTCCCCTTCTCAGGGGCCTCTGTTTTGCTCTCGCTGTTTCTTTCTCACTGCCCTCCCTCCGCCTCTCACCTCTCTGTCCTTCTGAGCTCTTTTTCACTCTGTCTCTGCATTTGCCCTTTGCACTGTCAAACTCCTTCATCTTGCCACTTGATGTCTGTATTTCTCCATATCTTTCTTCCTCTGTCTCTGCCCGCCCACGTTTTTCTCTTTCTCTTTCCCTCTTTGGGGACCCTCCCCCATGCTCCCCTGCCCCGTCTTCCTTTCCCCTGTCTGCCTCCTCATCCTTCGACTCCCATCTTTCCCTAGCCATTACCAGCTCTGGCTGGGTCGCCATGACTTGTTTGAGGATGAAGACACAGCCCAGTTTGTTCTTGTCATTGAGAGCTTCCCACACCCTGACTTCAACATGAGCCTCCTGAAGAACCCCACCCGCCTCCCAGGCGAGGACTACAGCCATGATCTCATGCTGCTCCAGCTGAAGGAGCCTGTCCAGATCACAGATGCTGTGAAGGTCGTGGAGTTGCCCACCGAGGGTGTCGAAGTTGGGAGCACCTGTTTGGCCTCCGGCTGGGGCAGCATCGAACCAGAGAAGTGTATGTGGGGGCAGACTGTGCAGGCCAAGGCAGGGCTGGGGGTGCCTGAGTCGGAGGGAGAAAGGGCCAGGGAACCAGGTGTGGTCTGGCTGCAGCCCTTTTTCTCCCGGGTTCCTAGTCTCATTTCCAGATGTTCTTCAGTGTGTGGACCTCAAAATCCTGCCTAATGATGAGTGCGACAAAGCCCACACCCAGAATGTGACAGAGTTCATGCTGTGTGCCGGACCCCTGGAAGATGGCCAAGATACCTGTGTGGTGAGCCAGTCCTGCCCCCAGAGTCTAGAAGGGCTGGGGGAGGGGACTCAGCCTCTGAACTGGCTTCTGAGAACTAACTGGGCATCTGCTTCACTGCTTCGCAGCTAGCTGTAGCCTCCCGCCCCATCAGTGCCCCAGCTCCCCTCCCTTCCCCTGCCCATTCAGGTACAACTGCATCTCACCCCCCCGACACCAGAGTTCACCGTTCCTCCCGGTAACGCAGTTACTGTTGAGTCAGAGAGGTGACCTCTGTGATGGCCTGCCCCTCCTCCCACTGACCTGTCTGCAGGGACTGTCCTCCTGGACCCTGCCCCTGAGCAGGAGCTGGTCCCCGAAGTCCCTTCCCTATCGGCCAGGACTGGAGCCCTGTCCCCTCTGTGGGAATCCCTGCCCACCTTCCTCTGGGAGTGGGCGCTGGAGGTCCAGGTCTGAGAGCTGGGGCTGCCCAGGCAGAGCTTGGATGCCACCGTTCTCACCCTCCCCACCTGGAGCTCCCAGGGTGACTCAGGGAGCCCACTGGTTTGCGGTGGCATCCTCCAACAATCATGTCATGATCAGAGATGGGATTTCACCATGGTGGCCAAGGGGTCTTGAACTCCTGACCTGAAGTGATCCGCCCACCTCAGCCTGACAAAGTGCTGGGATTACAGGTGTGAACCACCGCACCTGGCCTTATGCCGAAGCTTAAGTGCTCTTCTGTTTCTGGAAGGTTTGTGGTTCTTGTACACATTTATTGTCTTCATTGCTTTTAATTTTTTTTAAATTTCTTCTCTTTTATGGAAGGAATATGTTCGATTGTCTTTACTTTTTTAAAAATATCTATCATTTTCTCTCAAGTTGTATTTTTGAAAAAATCTGTTTCTGTTCATTGGCAAGAAAAGAAAGAAATAAGGGATTTTAAAGCAGGAGCCCACGGGGAAGTAGAGTGGAAGTTCTTGACAAAACTGAGGCATTTACCCTACAGTTAGGTGAGGGATGGAGAGCATGCCTGGTTCTGCCTCAGAAAATGTATAAAGGTAATAAGTTGGCAGCCCCGGTCCAAGGAGGGCTGCACTGCAAATGGACTGCACGCTGGGTCGTGGCAGGGCAGAGGGGTTTGGGAGCTGCATCTGGGTCAGGGACCCCTGTCAGGTGGGTTGGTCCCGGTGGTGCCACCCGCCAGCCCTGCATCTTAGGTCCGCTGCCACTGAAGAAAACCATGAGATTCGGGTTGCTGTGAAAGCGATTTATTAACAGAGGACTGTCAGAAGCAGGTGAGGAAGACAGAATAGTGTAGGGGAAGGAGCCAAGGAGAAAGACATGATGTGGGCTTGGCTCGAGTCACCCTTCAGCCTGAGCCTGATGGTGGCTCTGGAGGATGAATTGCCCCCACAAAGCCCCCACCTTGGCTGGGTGTCGTGGTTCACACTTGTAATCTCAGCACTTTGAGAGGCCAAGGTGGGTGGATCACTTGAGACTAGGAATTCAAGACCAGCCTGGCCAACATGGTGAAACCCTGTCTCTACTATAAAAAAAAAAAAAAAAAGCTGGGCGTGGTGGTGGGCACCTGTAATCCCAGCTACTCAGGAGGCTGGCACAGGAGAATCGCTTGAATCCAGGAAGTGGAGGTTGCAGTGGGTGGGGATCACACCGCTGCACTCCAGCCTGGTTGACAAGAGTGAGACTCTGTCTCAAAAATAGTAAATAAAAAGCGCCCACCTTGAAGGAGGATGCCTGACTTCTGTTCCCCAAGCTCTGTGCGTCATCAGCCACTGCCTGCTTTACAGTGAGGTGGGCATGATCTCCTGGGTAAGGCAGCTCATGAAGCAGTCAAGAGCTTTAGAAGACAGTTCTTGAGGGACAGAGGTGTTGACAGTTGTTATGATACCTTGGTTCTCGTCTTTTTAGTTTAAAAGAATTTAAACTAAAAAGAAGAAGAGCTAAAGATCCTAAATATATACACACCCAATACAGGAATGCCCAGATATATAAGACTTATAAAGAGACTTAGACTCCCACACAACAATAGTGGGAGACTTCAACATCAATATTAGACCGATCAATGATACAGAAAGTTAACATCGATATCCAGGACTTGAACTCAGATCCAGAACAAGTAGACTTAATTAATATTTATAGAACTCTCCACTTTAAATACACAAAATATACACTCTTATCAGTAC